TTTCTTGGTTCAAATAATGGGAGACTCCAGAATGGATCAGCTTCAGGCATGGCTGGATCCAGGAGCTGAAGTGATATCCTCAGTACTCTGTCTCTGTCCATCCCCTGGCTCCATTAGCCTCTGTGCTGCTGCACTCACAGGCAGGCTGCCCTGCCATGGTTGCCCTTCAAAGCCCAGTGTGTATTTTACACTTAAGGCACAGCTCAAGTCAGGTGCCAAGTTTCCATCGGCGATACTTCACCTGCATTTATATCTCATGATTTCTTCAGTTGAAAAAGTCGATTTACAGACCCAAGTTGTTCCAAATATACTTCAGAGTTTTCCAGGGATTCATTGGGTGTCTGACTTTAAATTTAAAATAAATAAAATTAAATAAAATAGAATATTCAGTTGCTCATTCATACTGGCCACATTTCAAGAGCTCGGGAGTGTTTTAATTTGCCTCCTCTTACCCGGCTAGTGCGGGTATGGAGATGGCCTAACACGCCACACCTGACCCTGGGCGGGTGAGACAGCAGTTTATTAGTCACGAATGCTCACACCTGAGTGCAGCAGGGACCACGCCACAGAAAGCCACGTGGGGTGTGCTCAGGAACAGAGTGAACAAGTAGTGGCTTTGTGGTGGGCTTTGTGGCAACAAGAGGGTGAGGTGACCCTGGTCCTGCAGGAAGCGGTGATTGGCTTGTTAGACTAATTCCGACTGGCAGGTGGCTGACATCCAGTCTACAGGGATAAGCAGGCTCTGTCCTGGTCCCTGTGGTACGGAGGGTCACCTGGCTGGGGGACCTTATACATGGAGCAGAGCCAGTAGGGGGGCTTTAGGTCCCCCCAATTCTACCAGATGTCATGGCAGCTCAAGATATTGAATCAAAATTTCTTGTTTCACACCAGGCTCCACATGTGCCTGGTCACCGCGTAGGGGACAGTGCCCATCGACATGATATGTTTATTTATTATGTTTATCGATTAAATTCTTCACACACATGCAAGAATGTAGTTTCCATAAGATAGAGATTTTTTTTCAAATATTTTTTCTATTATTGATTTTTTAAAGAGAGAGGAAGGAAGAGGGAGAGAAAGAGAAACATCAATGATGAGAGAGTCATTGATCGGCTGCCTCCTGCACGCCCCCTGCTGGGGGTTGAGCCTGCAACCCAGGCATGTGCCCTGACCGGGCATCGAACCAGTGACCCCTTGGTTCATGGGTCAATGCTCAACCACTGAGCCATGCCACCCGGGCCAGGACAGAGATTTCTATTTGTCCTCAGTGCCTGGAACAGTGCCTGGCACACACTAGGCGCTCAGTAAATGTTTGTTGAGCCAGTGAATGAAACAGAAAGACCAGTAAGGGTTTTATTTCCAGCCTCGCCCCGAGGTGGACCTGTCTGAGCCACAGGCCTTGGGGATCCGGGAACCGTCCCATCCATACCACCCTCCCCGTCACAGCCCAGCCCGCAGCCCCTGGGTCCTCACCTCCGCCCTCCTCCCCACTCCAGGAGCTGGAGACCCACCTCGAGGCCGAGGAGGGGGCCCGGCAGAAGCTGCAGCTGGAGAAGGTGACGACGGAGGCAAAGCTGAAGAAGTTCGAGGAGGACTTGCTGCTCCTGGAGGACCAGAACGCCAAGCTCAGCAAGGTCGGCGGCCAGCCCCGAGCCCCCGGGGCGGGAGAGTGGGCCCTGTGGGCACGTGGGCCCCTCCCTGTCTCTGTCCCCAGCTTGCTCTGCCTCCAGGGTCTCTGTCACCTGCAGTCTGGGCTGTGTGTCCCCTGAACTATTTGTCTCTCCTCATCTCCCTCTGTCACACTGTCACTCAAACAGCCACTGACTGAGCAACGACTGTGTCGCTCTGTGCACCGGCTGCGCAGGCCCTGCTCTGTCTGGCCCGTGGCCTTCTCAGGCGGTCACCGTCACATGGTGGCTAGGGCTGGATGTCTGGTGTCTCCGTGCTCCTCCATATGGCCTCTGTCCCCCCAGAGAGCCTGGGTGTCTGACACAGCCACTCAGGGCTCTGAGAAAGGGAAGCAGAGGCAGCCGGCGTCCCTTCCACTGAATTCTCCCCGTCGGGTGTTAACATTTTCTCCGAAAGGCCAGATGGCAGGCATCTGTGGGCCACTCCATTCTGCCACTGTAGCGTGAGAGCAGCCACAGACGGTTCACAATCAAATGGGCGCGGCTGTGCCCCAGTAAAACTTTACTTACAGCAACAGGCGGGGACTGGATTCGGCCTGCACTCTGTGGTTTGCAGACCACTGACTTAAAGCAGTCACAAATGCAAGAGGTGGGGAATTAGACCCACCCCGGGTGGGGACACAGGGAAGACTCTGCCACCACCTTTAACCAGCCACAGCCAGGGCTGTGCTGGGCACGGGGGCGCTGGCGTTGAACTAACTGGAAGCCGTTCCCGCCCTGGCAAGGGCTGGGCACACACGCGGGTGCCACAGATGCGCAAGGACGATGGCCGCAGTGTCGTTTATGAGAGCAAATGGTTGAAACCATGTAATCAGCTGCTCTTACAAACGGGGCAGCGAAGGATGGAGGTGAGGGGCGGGCTGCTGAGCAGGCGGCCGCCCCTCACGCGGCTCCCCGGGCCCCAGGAGCGGCGGCTGCTGGAGGAGCGGCTGGCGGAGTCCTCGGCGCAGGCGGCGGCCGAGGAGGAGAAGCTCAAGAGCCTGAGCAAGCTGCGTCTGCGGTACGAGGCGGCCATCGCTGACCTGGAGGGTGAGCGCCCGTGCGGCCGGGCCGGAGGAGGGCTGTGGGCAGGCCGGTGTCCTCTGGCTCCCACGTCCCTCTCAGGTGCCTTGGGTCCCTCTCTCACTGTCCCACTCGCTGTTTCAGGCATTTTTCGTCTCCCTGCCCCTTGCTAGGGACTCAGTCAGAAGCAGGCGGGATCAGCGCAGGAGGCGCCTGGGGAGGACTGGGCCGGGCAGGGGCAGCCAGCGGGCCAGGGGCTGTCCTGGGGCCAGGAGGAAAGGGCCGCGTCTGGGGGGCTGCCCCAGGGCCTGGGGATCGAGGGGCGCTCCCCGAGATGGGGAAGCTGGAAGGCGGAGGAGGCGCAGAGGGAGATGCTGAGCTGGGCCCGGGCTGTGGGCCTCCACGGGAGCTGCGGGGTGCGCGGGTGCGGAGCCCTCGCACAGCCCCCCGCTCTCGCCCCCAGACCGCCTACGGAAGGAGGAGAAGGGCCGCCAGGAGCTGGAGAAGCTGAAGCGGCGGCTGGACGGCGAGAGCTCGGAGCTGCAGGAGCAGATGGTGGAGCAGCAGCAGCGGGTGGAGGAGCTGCGGGCCCAGCTGGGCCGCAAGGAAGAGGAGCTGCAGGCCGCCTTGCTGAGGTGCGGCGGGCATTGGGGGGGCGCTTGGAGGAGTACCAAGCTCCAAGCTCGGGGCAGGCCTGCCAACGTGGGGCATCCCCGGGAGACCCTCCTGGCGCACAGCCCAGCCCAGCCGCTCACCAGCTGTGCACACACCCCCCCCCCTGAGCCTCGGTGTCCGCTTGTGTAAAATGGCCCTGGCGAGAGTTGCAGGCCCACCTGGTTAAGGGAAAGGCGAAGCAAGGCAGTGCACAGGATGCCGTTCAACCAACCGAGCCACACGGGCCAGGGCGGGACTTTCCTGTTCTTGACAGAGGGATCATAGAGCAGGTAGCCTTTTGCGCTCGCTGGTTTTATTGCCATTCTCAGCAACCCTGTGAAGCGGGTGTTCACGTCCTCTCATAGAGCAGGGCCTGCTGCTGTTCAGAGAGGTCGTCACTGCCAGGCAGGCGGCCCAGCAGGGGATACAAACCTGCCTGCGCAGCCCCAGTCTGCGCTGCCCCTCAGTTCAGCTTCTCTATGCAAGAGGCTGTGTCCCTTAGGGGTCATGAGGTGGGTCTCTGGGGTCAGCTCTGCCACTCACGGTCTGTGTGACCTGGGCAAGTGCTTTCCCTGCCCTGTGACTGGGTTTTCTCATTTGTCATAAGCACGGAGTCAAGGGCTTGCGTGTGGTAGGACCTTATTCAGTGACCCTGGGATTACTGTTAGTGTCATTCCCATTTTACAGCTGAGAAAACAGGCCCTGAACACTGGAGGCCCATGCTCAGGGGCAGAGCTGGGTTTGAACCCAAGATGGGTCACCCCCAAAGTCCACGTCTGGCCTCTTCACCCCCAGAAGTCATCCCTGCCCCCTGCCTGCCCCTGTAACTAATTCCAGGGTCCTCATCTGCCCCCAGGGTGGAGGAGGAGGGTGGCGCCCGGGCCCAGCTGCTCAAATCCCTGCGGGAGGCACAAGCTGGACTGTCTGAGGCCCAGGAAGACCTGGAGGCTGAGCGCGCGGCCAGGGCCAAGGCCGAGAAGCAGCGGCGGGACTTGGGCGAGGAGCTGGAGGCCCTGCGGGGCGAGCTGGAGGACACACTGGACTCCACCAATGCGCAGCAGGAGCTCCGGTGAGGCTGGGCTGCCCGGTTGCTGGCACAGCCTGGGCACGTGCAGGGGCAGTGGAGGGGAGAAGGGCTTGGGTGAGAATTCTCCATTTACACAGAGGTTTAGTCATTCTGTAGTTTTTTATTGAGTATCAGCCCTGGGTCAACCTGGGGACAGAGATGAGTCAGACCCAGGCATTGCCCCCAGGAATTTCTAGTCTTGGGGGAGGCAGATTTGGGCAAAGAACAGACCCAATCCAGAACCAAGGGAGCTTTAATGGAGTAGCGTAGCATGATAAGCGAAGGCCCCTAAGCCACATCTATGGGAGGGCGTTCAGGAAGAATTCCCTGAGAAGGGCCCTTTTGAACAGGGTTTTGAAAGATGAATAGGAGGTCACCCTAAAAAGCTACATTCCTCACACAACATCAATGTCCAGATCCTTTAAGGAATGTAGAGTGAGGCCCCCATCCTTGTAGAGAAACAATAGAAAGAAGCATAGCCAGCTGTCGGGGGCTCCCCCAAGGTTCTGCCCTTCCTCTCTTCTGAAATTTTATTCCCTGCCCCCTTCCTCCATCAAAGGTCCAAGAGGGAACAGGAGGTGACGGAGCTGAAGAAGGCTCTGGAGGAGGAGACCCGTGTTCACGAGCTGGCTGTGCAGGAGCTGAGGCAGCGCCATGGCCAGGCTCTGGGAGAGCTGGCGGAACAGCTGGAGCAGGCCCGGAGGGTGGGTTAGGG